AGGGTTAGGGAGAGTTGTTTTTTGAGAGGGTTAGGGTTACCGGATTTGAAGGTAGGGGTAGGGAGAGTTGTAGTAGTAGCAAGATAGGAAAGAGAGAGAAAAAAGCATTATTGGCGTGCATCGAAGAGCCCGTGGCCGACCCAGACCCCAGGAAGGAGATAGAGCCCGAGCCCGTAGAGGCAGCCATTTGGAAGGCCACCGACCAGATGATCCGGTTCAGCCAGAGGACGGTGGTGGGTCGGTGTGGAATATTCGTACGCATGGAGGCCATCCGAACGGAGAAGCACCAGACGAGGTATCAGCCATTGCAGGGATACATGGACGAGAAGACGATTGTCAAGCATTCGCGGGCGTGGAAGCAGATTATGATGTTTTTTGCACGTACACAGCGAGAGCACGAATGGACGAGTCCAGCGTATCGATTCAAGGCACGACAACGGAGGGCATGGGAGAGAGTAGTGGAGGAAGCAGAGCGATTGGTGGGGGAGGAAGACAGTGCAAGTGAAAGTGAAAGGGAGGAGAGGGAAGGGCAAGGTGAAAGAAGAGAAAGGAGAGAAGAGGGCGAAGAAGGAGAGAGTAGAGGGACAGGCAATACGCAACAGGAAGAGACGTTGACCCGCATCCAACGCGCGTGTTTGCAATTTTGCATCGAGTTGTTGGATCACCAAACCACGCAGAACGAGTATGAGAGCCCGTTGGTGTGCGCATTGGCGGTATTGGGGGTAAAGGAGGATGGATGGAAGGGACCCGAGCAGTATCCACCCATTTTGTCAGCCGTCATCAAGCAAGCCCGGTTCATGGTCGTGCAACAGGCCGTAGAGTTGTCCCGTAGATTGGACGAGGACAGCGCATACGAGAGCGACGGAAGCGAAGAGAGAAAAGGATGTGTGCAGTTGGTCAGCGAAATGATGGACAGATTCATGGTGAGAGGCACGCACGGTCCCATGCAATGGGTGTTGGATTCGCGGACGTATGGATTGAAGATCCAATTCAACACAAC